AGGGCTCTGCTCTGCCCCATTCCTTGGACCCCAAATCCCACCAGCACCCTTCTCTACCGCATTTCTGGGATCCCAAATCCCCCCAGTATTCCCAGAGCTCTGCTCTGCCCCCGTTCCTTGGACCCCAAATCCCACCAGCACCCTCAGGGCTCTGCTCTGCCCCATTCCTCGGACCCCAGATCCCACCAGCACCCTCAGGGCTCTGCTCTACCCCATTCCTGGCACCCCAAATCCCCCCAGTACCCTTCTCTACCCCATTCCTGGGACCCCAAATCTCCCCAGTCCCACCGAGCCCCACTCCAAGGTCTGGGATCCCGGCTGGACCCCAGCACAGGGGGCTCAGATCCTCTGGCAGCCCCCCACCCTCACCCCAGCCTCCCAAAAAAGACAAACAGCTCCAGGGAGAAGCTTGAAACAAGACCACGACTTTATTTGAGCTAAAAACCCCAAATCTGTTCTCTTTACAAAAGGATAAAACATTTTCAGTACAAAAGGGAAGAAGCCCCAGGACCCGGGGGCTGGGCAGGGACCTCAAATCATCTCCAAATTCCCAACTTTATACAAAACCAGGGAGATTTGGCCAGCTGGGCTCGCGAGGCCAGTGGGGCATCAAAAATAGTTGCTTGGATTTTCTTTGCGAAACAAAATAAAATCGTTGCATAGCATTTAAAAGTTATTGCTCATCTCAAAATGCTCAGAGGAGTTGGGAGCTGTTGGCAGGACCCCAAATCCTTGGAACACCCGTTAAATACGGAGTTAAACATGGAAATATTGGAAATATTGGGGTTTATCACGAGAAAAAGAACCAAAACAGGTGGTGAGGGAAATAAATTAAATAAATAATGGCTAATAAATAACCCTGGAGTGCCAGCACGGCAAAAACCACGAGGTCTCCAAGCCGGGAATTCCCACTACGAGCCTGGAAGGCAGAGGGGGAAAAACCTTGGGCACATCCCAGATTTCCATGGAAAACGGGAGGAAATAAATTAGGATTCCTCACACACAGTGATTAATTAATAAATAAAGCAGGGAATTAAGGTTTTTGTTGGCGATCAGGACTCGGAGCAGGGGAGGGGAAAATGTGAACCAAGAAGGGAGAGGGGGTCGGTGGCTCCTGTTCCAGTTGGGATTGTGGGAGGGATCAGTGGGATCCCAGTCCAGACCAGCAGGATTTTACCCAGATCAGCGGGATTTTACCCAGACCAGTGGGATCCCACCCAGACCAGTGGGAATCCCACCCAGATCAGCTGGATCCCATCCAGATCAATGGGATCCCATCCAGACCAATCCCAATCCCACTGGGATTCTGGGAGGGATCAGTGGGATCCCATCCGAGGTTCCCAGGGCTGTTGTGGGGCACAGGGGAGATGAGTTTGGGGAGGGGAGCAGTGGAGGGAGGGCCACAGGACAATGGGCCACTGTCCCCCCATCCCTGGACATTGTCCCTCCATCCCTGGACACTGTCCCTCCATCCCTGGACGTTGTCCCCCTATCCCTGGACACTGTCCCTCCATCCCTGGACGCTGTCCCCCCATCCCTGGACGCTGTCCCCCCATCCCTGGACGCTGTCCCTCCATCCCTGGACGCTGTCCCCCATCCCTGGACATTGTCCCACCATCCCTGGACACTGTCCCCCCATCCCTGGACGCTGTCCCCCATCCCTGGACACTGTCCCCCCATCCCTGGACGCTGTCCCCCATCCCTGGACATTGTCCCCCCATCCCTGGACATTGTCCCACCATCCCTGGACATTGTCCCTCCATCCCTGGACGTTGTCCCCCTATCCCTGGACACTGTCCCCCCATCCCTGGACGCTGTCCCCCCATTCGTGATGGCAGAAGGAGAAGGTTCTCCCTGGGGTGGGAATTTTCGTGCTGGTTTCCCACAAGTGTCCGGCTCATTCCCACCCGGCCACTGCTGGACTGGGAAATCCATGACCCCACTGGAGCTCGGGGAAGGGACAGCGCTCACCCCAAGTGGCAGGAGGGGCTGTGTCCCCACACCAGGGGGGACAGGGGGAGGATGGACAATCCCAGGGCTGGACCTGGTGTCAGAACGGACATCCTGGAGGCAGAAACACCTTCGGGAGCATCTCTGGGGGACGCAGCAGTGACACTCAGAGCCCAGGAGGGTCCCCGTGGCTCCTGGGGACAGCCGGGACAGCGGCGCGGTGACACCGGCCACCTCCAGGGTCACGTCCTGCGGAGATGCTCGAGGTCCCTCACCCAGCCCTGCCCGTCCCGGGGACGGCTCCAGGCCCGACCTCTCCCCACCCCAAACCCGCGCCCGGCCCCGCTACTCGTTGAAGATGGCACCGAGCTGGGGCCCGGCCACGTGGGGCGGGAAGGACTCGAAGGCGACGTCCAGCGGGATCTCGTAGCGGGGCACGGGGCTCTGGAAGTGGGAGCCGTGTCCGTGGCCCCCGGCCAGGCTGCCCGAGGGGTAGTGGGCCATGAAGGGGTAGGGCTTCTCCAGCTCCGGGGACCCGTCCTGCTTCAGGGAGAAGTTCCCGCTGATGCTCAGGGGCGGCGTCAGGGGCCCCTCGTAGGGCGGCGTGGAGCACTCAGAGGGGTGGCTCCCGAAGGAGGCGTCCACCAGGCTCTTGAAGGCCGGCGGCTTCAGGTGCAGCAGGTGGGACTCCATGGAGCCGTAGGGCGGGCTGGGCAGCCCCTGGTAGCCGAAGGAGTGGCCGGGCAGGGCCGGCTCGCAGGGCTTCTCCTCGTGCTTCTCCACGAAGAGCGGCTGCGGGCCCAGCTGCAGGCAGCCGGCCACCAGGTTGCTGGTGGGCTGCGACAGCCCCTTGCAGAGCATCTCCACGAAGCTCTTCCCCTCGGGCGTCTGCCCCGTCTCCAGCACCTCGGATAGGGCCCAGATGTAGTTCCTGGCCAGCCGCAGCGTCTCGATCTTGGAGAGCTTCTGGGTTTTGGAGTAGCAGGGCATGACCCTGCGCAGGTTGTCCAGGGCGTCGTTCAGGCCGTGCATCCTCGTGCGCTCCCGGGCGTTGGCCTTGACCCGCCGCGCCCGGAACCGCTCCAGCCTGGCCTTGGTCATCTTCTTCTTCTTGGGGCCTCTCCGCTTGGGCTTCTCACCGTCCTCTTCCTCCTCCTCCTCCTCCTCCTCCTCCACGCTGTCGCGCTCCTCGGGCAGGGCCGGCAGCAGCGCGAAGGGAGCGGCCGCGGCGTTGTCCTCCTTCAGCCCGGCCCCGGCTGCCGGCGGTTCCTGCAGCCAGGCCTGGCCGCTGCCCAGCTCGGCCATGGCCGGGGGTGGCCGCAGGCCTGGGGCACCTGCAAGGGAGGGACCCCAGAGCGAGAATCCTCAGCACGCCGGGAGCATCTCCCTCCAGACACACCAGCACCTACCGATTCCTTTTTCCCACTTATTTCCCTCTCCATTTCCAGTGGGTTTTATTCGGGAGATGTTGAATTTTATCTGGGAGATGCCTCTCCCTGAGCTCCGGCCACATTCCCGGAGCTTCCAACCATCCGTTTCGGGGTGATTCCCACTCCTGAATCCCTTCTCGCCACACCCTCCACCCCGACTGTCACACTGGGGGTGACAAAAGGCGGCTGGCAATTCCCGGTCGGAGATTTTCCTTCCCCGAGCCCTCGGTGGCGGCCCCGGGTCCCCGTTAATCGGCCCCCCCAAATCCCATCACCGCCCCGGCTCATTCCATAAAGCTTTAGCCCCTAAGCAGCTTTGCTGGAAGTGCTGCCCGAGCCGCTGCTCCCCTTTCCCGAGCATCCCACGCGGAAAATCCCACTTTTAATATGCGTGATGGGGCTCCCGGCCGGGATTAGGGTGTTAATTGCTGTCCTATCCCCAAAGGACCACGCGGCCCCAATTAACTCCTGGCGGAGGATGGCAAATCGCGGAGGGCGAGGGCGGGGAAGGATCGGTTTTGGGGCGAGGGGATGGGTCCGGCTGGTCCCGATTCCCTCTGGTGGGATGAGGGGATGGCCACGTTGAGATCGGCCCCAAAACGCTGCAGGTCTGCCCCAAAACGCTGCAAATCTGCCCCAAATCGCTGCAGATTTGCCCCAAAACGCTGCAAATCTGCCCCAAAACCACCCCAGGCTGCAGCCGGGGGTCCCTTTCCCCCATCCTCGGGGATCCTCCTTCTCCTCGCTGCTCCCGGGATCCCGAGAGTAAATCCCCGAGTTTGGGGCTCCCTTCTCCAGGGAAAAGCTCTCTCTGCAAGTCCCGTCGGGATTTTTAAGGGGATTTTACTTTCTTTCTACAGAATATTGATTTCAAAATAATAAACAAGGAATTACACCAAGAGGGAATTGCCTGAGGAAATCGCTTCCATCGCCTCCATCCCCGCCGCGCCCGGGGCTCCCCGAACCCTCGCGTGTCCCCGCCGGCCCCGGGACCGCGGCTCCGTCCCCAGCGGTACCGGGGGAGCGGCTGTGACCCCATCCCGCCCCTCAAGCCCCCCGTGCCGGGGTCCCGCCGCTCCGCCGTCGGGGCAGAGCCCCCCGCGCCTTCCCGGGGCCACCGGGAGCACCGAGCGGCCGCGGAGCCCCGGCGGGGGCACCGGAGTACCGGGACCCCGGAGTCCCGGTCCGCCCTTACCTGGGCACCGCAGCGAGTCCCCGCTGTCACCTGTGTCACTCGCCCGGGGACATGGCGGGGTCAGCCCCGGGGGCGCGGGCAGCTCCCGCCGAGCGGCGCCGGGAGCGCACCGGGAGCGCACCGGGAGCGCACCGGGAGCGCAGCGGGCACCGGCGGCTCCGCGCTCGGGCGGTTTTGAGAGCTCCGCGCTGCCCGCGGCTCCTGCCCGGCCGCGGGTCCCGCGTGGCTCCTCCCACGGGGCGGAGTGACCGGGCCCGGCTCCTCCCGCGGCCCCACCGGGACCCCGGCGGCGGCGCCCGAGCGTCCCGGGGCTGGGCACTGGCGGGGGGGACACCCCCGGTTCTCGGGAACCCCCGGGAGGGGACTCGGGGACACCCCCGGTTCTTGGGTGCCCCGGGTGGGGACTCTGGGACACCCCCGGTTCTCGGGAACCCCCGGGAGGGGACTCGGGGACACCCCCGGTTCTCGGGAACCCCCGGGAGGGGTCTCGGGGGCACCCCCGGTTCTTGGGAACCCCCGGGAGGGGACTCGGGGACACCCCCGGTTCTCGGGAACCCCCGGGAGGGGACTCGGGGACACCCCCGGTTCTCGGGAACCCCCGGGTGGGGACTCGGGGGCACCCCCGGTTCTCGGGAACCCCCGGGAGGGGACTCGGGGACACCCCCGGTTCTTGGGAACCCCCGGGAGGGGACTCGGGGGCACCCCCGGTTCTCGGGAACCCCCGGGTGGGGACTCGGGGACACCCCCGGTTCTTGGGAACCCCCGGGAGGGGACTCGGGGGCACCCCCGGTTCTCGGGAACCCCCGGGTGGGGACTCGGGGGCACCCCCGGTTCTTGGGAACCCCCGGGAGGGGACTCGGGGACACCCCCGGTTCTCGGGAACCCCTGGACGGGCCCCCTTGGATGGATCCCTCTGGATGCGCCCCTGAATGGACCCCCATGGTTGGAACCCCCGGATGGAGCCCCCCGGATGTCCCCCCCAGTTCACCCAGCCCCAGGACACCCCCGGCACTCGGTCCCCATTCCCCCGGACACGGTGTGACAGTGCCACCAGCGCCACAGGCCTGGGGGTGTCCTCACCCGCCGCCCCCCTCGCTGGGCACCCAGGGTGACACCCAGGGTGACACCCAGGGTGACACCCAGGGTGACACCGGCTCCCGCCCGGCTGCTGGGGGTGGGCGCGGGGGCTGCGAGCCCCTCGCGGCGGTAATGAGAGAGCGAGGGGGAGTAATTAGCGCTCGGCAGAGCCAGAAGGGGCCCGGCCGGGCTGGGGACAGGCAGGGGAAGGCACCTCGGGGCTCAGCAGCCCCCGGGAAGGGAGAGAGAGGGGCAGAAAAAGACCCCCCCCCCGAAATCCCGGGGGTCCTGGGTCGTTTTACTTCGTCTGGGGACTGGGGGAGCCCCCCGGACCTGGGGTTGCCCCACCGTGGGGCAGGAGCTGGAAGGGGGGACAGCGGTGAGCCCCCCAAAAATCATCCCCCTGACCCCCTCCTCATCCACCCGCTGCCCCCAAAATCCCCGGCAGCCCCGCGGGAGCCTTCCCCGCTGCCCGGGAGCGCCGGGAAGCGCGGCGGCGGCAGGCCGGGATTACGGGGAATACTAATTAATTCATTAGTCGGCTCCGCGGCTCCCTTCGCGGCGCGCGGCCCGGGCGGCAGAACAGATTGCGGCCGATAAATCTGCCTGTTGCGGGCCCCCCCTGCCAGATGGCTCCAACAGGTCCCGGCACCCGCACAAAGGGGCCGGTGGGCGCCCCGGGCGAGGGGGGACACGGCCCGGGCTCCCCCGGGGCCGCGGGACCCCCGGGGGCTGCGGGGCATTGTCCGCGCCCATTGTGCGGGGCCCCGCAACTGTTGGGGTTACGGCGGCCGCGGCCCCCCGGGAGCGCTCGGCAAAGATGTTCCCTTCCCTTCCCTTCCCTTCCCTTCCCTTCCCTTCCCTTCCCTTCCTTGTCCCTTCCCTTCCCTTCCTTGTCCCCTTCTTCTCCTTCCCTTCTTCTTCCCCTTCCCCTTTTTTCTTTTATCCCCTTCCCTTCTTCTTCCCCTTCCCCTTTTTTCTTTTATCCCCTTCCCTTCTTCTTCCCCTTCCCCTTTTTTCTTTTATCCCCTTCCCTTCCTTCCCTTATCCCCTTCTTCTCCTTCCTTTCTTCCTTCCCTTCCCTTATCCCCTTCTCCATCCTTTCTTCCCCTTCCCCTTTCCTTCCTTTATCCCCTTCCCTTCTCTTTCCTTTCTTCTTCCTCTTTCCCTTCCATTATTCCCTTCTCCTTCTTTTCTCCCTTTCCTTTCTTTCTTTTTTCCCTTTCCCTTCCATTACCCCCTTTCTCTTCCTTCTCCTTCCTTTCTTCTTCCCCCTTCATTTCCTCTTTCCTTTCCTTATCCCTTCCCCTTTTTTCTTTTCCCCCTTCCTTTTCCTTCTCCCCTCCCACCCCCAGGAACGGGCAGAGCCCCCCCAGCCCTGCCCGGGTGGGCGCTGGGGGGTCCCCGCTGCGGCCAGCCGGGAAGTGCCACCCGTGCCACCCGTGCCACCCGTGCCACCCGTGCCACCCGTGCCACCCGTGCCACCCGTGCCAGGGCTGGGGGTCCCCAAATCTCCAGCTGTGCCCACCCCAGGAGCCGCCCAGCTCCTCCCCAGAGCGCTCCCACTCCTGGGGACCCCCACAAGGATGGGGGATCCCCCACCTCCCGCGTCCCCCCTTCCCATCCTCCCCCACCCCATTTAACCCTTCCCTCTCTCGGGGGTCCCCCCCTCATCCCCTGGCACTGGTGACACCCCCAGCCCCGGTGCCCCTCTCTGCCGGGGGGGCCGGGCACTGCGGACCCCCAGGGATGGGCAGTGCCCCCCAGGGAAGGTGTGGCCTGTCCTGAGCTTGTCCCTCCCGAAATATCCCCCAGAGCGTGACCCTTCCCCAGGAAAACCCCCCGAAATCATCAAAATCATCATCATCCTCATCCTCAGCCTCCTCCTCAGCCGCGGGGCACAAGGACAGCTCCGCCGGGATTTCGGGGCACGTGGAGCCTCCCAAAAATTCCAGAAAATTCGGGATGCTCCAGCTGGGTGATGCAGCTCCACCCCGGGATGCTGCAGCTGGAAAAGGGATGGAGCCGCCCCAAGGCGCGGACTGAGCCGGGTTTGGGGCGGGGGAGAGCGAGGGAAGCTCATCCCGGCCCGGTGCCCCCGGTGCCCCCGGCCCGGTGCCCCCGGTGCCCCCGGGGGGCCGCGGCCTGGCGTGGGGGGGGTAATTTCCAGAGTAAATATTGGGAGAGGCCCCCGCGGCCCGCCTGGAATTCCTGGGCCCGCGCGGAAGCGCAATTAGCGCGTATTAACGGGGTCTAATTTAATCCCGGCAGCTGCGCCCGGGCCGCCTCATTTGCATAACACTGGGGAATGCAATTAGGGAGAAATGAGGGTTCGGGGGGCCCGGGCTGGGGGCCGGGGGGTGCGGCCGGCGCTCGGTGACCCGTGGTTGTCACTTTGAGCGATGGTGGCACCGGCAGAGGTGGCGCGGGGGCGGCGGGGACAAAGGGACGCTGTCCCGGGGTCCCCCCGGGCTGAGTTTTGGGGTCCCCAAACCCCCCAACCGCGGGGTCCCGGGGGCTCCGGGGGGAATTTCCCCACCCCGATGGAAATTGTGGAAGTGCTGGCGCTGCAGAAGGGACACGTCAGGGCTGGGGACGCTCGG